ATTTCTCTGCTTTCCATGTTAGCAACATGTCCTCACCTCCCGTTTCTCTGTGACCCACTCACATTAGGCTCTCACCTCCCCACTCCTCTGAAGCCACACTCGTCCAGGTGACGGGTGACCTCCCTCTCGCCAAGCCCAATGGCCAAAGCCCAAATCCTCAACTTTCTTTAACTCTGAGTAGAGATGACACAGTTTGAAACACTTAGGACACGTGTCTTCCAGGTGACCATGTTCTCCTGCTTTTCCTCTGAAACTCACTGGCCATTCCTTCTTAATCTCCTTTGCCAGAGAGACCCTCCTCCTTGTTCCAAGGTCTGAATTATTGGAGTGTGCTAGGAACGTGCTCCTGAAGGTGTGGGCTGCAGACAAACAGGGTTTCCATCTCCCAGGAGCTCATCAGACATGCAGAATCTCCGGTCTCACCCCAGACTTACCTAATTAGAGTCTTCATTTTAGCAAGACCACCCCCAGGTGATTTGGCAGCATTTTAAAGTTCAAGAGGCTGAGCTAGGGCTCCATCTTCCACGCTCTTCTTTATCTACACCAGGGTTTGCCAGCTGCACTACTGACATTCAAGGCTGGATAATTCTCAGTGGTGGGGAGCTGCCCCATGCACTGTAGGACACTAAGCAGCATCGTTGGCTGCTGCCAAACTAGATGTCAGTGACACCCCCCTCCCCCAACCATGACAACCAAAATTGTCTCCAGACATTGCTTGCCAACGCCTGTTCTGCACTCCCTCCCTCACGACCTCAGAAGTGTCACGTCTTTAAATACCATCTGAACGCTAACGACTACCCAAGGTCCATCTCCAAGCAGATCTCTCTTGGAACTCCAGACATGTGCACCCAACAGCCTGTTCCACATCTCCATCTGATGTCTAGTACGTCCCTCAGACATCACATGTCTGCAACAAGACCTCTGGGCTTTCCTCTGCACACCTGTCCCTCCCTCAGCCTTCCCCATCTCAGTAAAGGGCTTTCAATATCGGGCCAGCACTCTGGCCCCAAACCCATCCAATCCATCACCAAGTCCTTCCAGCTCGACCTTCATGCTGTGCCCTGAGTCCACGACTTCTCATCCTCTCCATGCTGGTGCTCAAGTCTAAGCCGCCATCGTGCTCACCTAGCCTGACCTTCCCGTTTCCACCTTTGCTCTCCATAGTCAGCGGATGCAGCAGCCAGCATGAGCCTTTCGAGACTTCTCAGATCACGCCGCTGTCCTTAGAACCTCACCTTCAGAACCAGATCCTCCCTGATCTGAACCTTCCTGTCTAGCTTCAGCTCTTCTCTCCACCTTTCTCACTCTGTCCTCACTGCACTGACCCGCTTGCTGCTTCAGGAACATGCCAACCTCGTTCCCATCTCAGGGCCTTTGCACTTGCTGTTTCCTCTTCCTGGAACATTCTCCCCTAGGTCTCACTGAGTGTCTGTTCAACTGTCTCCTCCTCAGAGTGGGTTTTTGACTGTCTATTTAAACAGCCCTCTTTCTGTTCCACTCCCTATTCTCCTACTTGGCTATATTTTTCTCTATAGCACTACCACTAACTGACCTTGGATATGGTTAATTTGTTCATTATCTGTCCCCCTCCTCTGGACCGTAAGTTTCATGAAGGCAGGACCTTCGTATTGGTCACGTTCATACACTCGATCCTAGACAGTGCCTGATACGCACTGACAAATAAAGATTTGCCAAATTCACGACCCAAATGTAGCGTGAGGCTTGCCAGCATGTTGCCAATCCTGAGTGGCCAGAAGAAGTTAAAATTTAGAGCCAGTTCTTTTCCTTTTAAATTTTAAAAAAGCTGCCATTAGAGCTTCAGAGCTTTTGTAAGTGAAAACATGCGTTCCGTACACCTGGCCATTGAGCATCTAGACATTTATTCCATAGAAAACTGGACAGGTACGTAAGAGGGCATTGGAGCCCAGCAATCCCAGAAAATCTCATCTTTCAAGAGAAGTCTGAAATAGACATAAAAGTGAAATACCAGGATCTTAAAATCTTGGCAACTAATTCGAAAAATATTTAAAACTATGGGGCCAAGAAAAACATGGCTGTGGGCCAGATTCATCCTGCCTACCACTGGTTTATAACCCCTGCGTTTGTCCTCCTCAGACACAGACCCAGAGAGGTGAGGCCACTCGCCCACGGCCTTCCTGACAGAGCAGAGGGGACCTGGGACGAGTGAGGGTCTATCCGTCACTCCAGGCTGCCCCGGCGGACACCCAGAGGCCTCCTGGGTTCTTTTACAGGTGATCACTTCCCTGGGATGCTATCTGGGCTCTTCCCTGGCTTCCCTGCAGCTCCATCGGAAAGGGGAAGGGGGAGGGGGACCTGTCAATCACTGCCCACTCTGCAAAGGAGCCAGGACGGGCGTGACGGGTGGGGAGGTGAGAGCTACATTCCCTGAATGGATGGATGTGTTTGGAGCCAGTGAGGATTCCACCCCGCGGTCCTGTCAGCCTGTTACCATGGGCAACCAGAGGGGGCGTGCTATACCTGGAGACACGCATGCGCTGACTAGTCCGAGCCAGAGAAGAAGGGTCTGGACCTGAGACCTAGAACACGCCCTGGCGTTGGTGGGGACAGGCCGCTTTAGTGCTATATTGTCACCTACTGGTCTCGGGGAGAGATGGGGACTGGGGAACCATGAATTTCAGCATCTGCCTGTCCCAGGGTTTAAAACAAGAGTTGAGGCTTGCGCCTAAGGGTGCAAGCAAACCGGGAGCCAGAAATGTATCAGTTGGCGGAAATTAAGCTAAAACAAGTAAGAAGGTGAAGCAAAGGTTGATTTGCTCTTGATCACTCTGGTACCCTTGGGGTCTGAGGAAAACGTTTAACCCAACTTTTAAGAAAATTATGTCCAGATAATCCGCCTTAGTCTTATAAATTTCATCATGGGTCCGAGGTTCAGTGGTCTGTGGT